GGACCTTATTAAAATCGTTGGGTCTGTTATTCTCTATAAAACGTGGCAATAACGCGATTTTTTATAACGATATTCTTAAGGTTTATAAGACCCATTTTATTCTGTTAAAACAGTCATTCGCGAGATAGAATTATTGTTGAATTGTTGATCGTGACATTCATATAATATGGCGTATTAGAAAATAAATCGGGTGAATGCTATATTACAGATCTCGAATGTTTATCTTTATATCTTTATATATATATAAATAATAGTGATTACATCGCGCGCGCGTACGTGTATGTGGGTTTCGATTATTATAGAAATTACGCGTATCGCAATCGAATATTATGAATACGACGATTTATTTATTCGTCGCGTTTGCTCGCGAATTTTAAATCACAATTTATCTTATAATTTAATCATTGATTTCCATCGAAGCTTTATCTATATTTTTGCATTTTGAATATTTCCTTTGAAAGTCTGCGCAAAATGTCAGTAGTATAAGTACTTTCTTCTACAATTAAAGACGATTGATAACTTTATTAATGACTCTTTTGGTCGCGAGTCTTTAAATTATATAAAACTTATTAAAGCTTTATAATTTTATGTCAATTTTTAATAATAAATATCGCGTAATTAATCGTCGCTAAAAAGTCTTGTCTAGTTTAAAAATTTCTAATAAATTTTTTATTATACGCATATTTTGGACATTTTCGTGTAATGCCATGTAATAAATTATTTTGTATTCAATTTTAGATTATATTTTGTATTATATTTTGTATATTAAATTTATTGTATCATTTTGTTTATATTAGAATTTATATTAGAATAAAAATAAAAATAAAATGTACCCTAACCCTGTGAAATGAAAAACAGGAAAACTGTCCTCACACATTTTTCCTCCTCGATGGTATCTCCACCTTAACGAAGGCATTTGCCGGGTGAGGAGGTTTGCGTACTCTAATGAACCTGAGAGCTATGCCGGCGGTAACGCGTATAGCGTTTTTGAGTGATCAAGTTTTATCGCTCTGAAACTGATTAATGAATAAAACTCAAACTCTGTCCTGGATTTTAGGGGTATTTGGATTATTAGATTAATCAATCAATACTTCAAGTAAGCGTTTGATTGATTAATCAGGGCAAAGAATCTTATACTTTAAAGACAAAATAGCGTCAAAAACGGAGAATATACTTTATATTATTTATATTAATGAGATTCTTTCAAAATCTATTTTTGATCAATATGTATTCATCGTAAATTGGGTTTAATTGCTCTCAAAGCGATTAAACTTGCTTTATTTAAAAACGCTAATAAGTTACCAGTAGGGTCACCCATGCCGGACAGGTCGAAGGGGAAGAGTCAGACTAAGAGAGATACTGTAGTTATATTTTTTATATTACTTGGGCAGCAACAGTATTAGCTGTCCTTATTTTAAGGACACATTTTAGCTATCACAGCTATATATTAGCTCCTGTTGCTAATCTTTTTTTTCCGTGTATTAATCAGATTCTCTCACAACCTATTTTTGATCAAATATATTCATCGTAAATTGGGTTTAATCGCTTTGAGAACGATTAAACTTGCTTCATTCAAAAACGCTAATAAGTTACCTGTAGGGTCACCCATGCCGGACAGGTCGAAGGGTAAGAGTCAGACTAAGAGATATATATTTATTTATTTATTATATTAATATTTTTAAATAAAATGGAAGCAAAAGAGACAGTAATCGAAAAAATAAAGAGAAAAAGAGCTTCAAAATATTTTTGGACTCTCCTCGGGACTTAGAAATATTTTGATATATGTGATACGACATACGAAAAATCGATTTCTGAGAAACATAAGTCTATTCTACTATAATATTCCTATAGTTTTGTAATCTTTTATTTTTTATAGAGTTTTAATCATTAGCAGCATTAATTAATTCTTTTACATTTATATGATCGGTCATCAGTAATAGGTATAGTATTAGATTTTTGCAAAATATTATACGAAAAATCTCTTGCAATATTGGTTGGAGCGTAAAAATTAAGAGTAAAAGTTAAGAGTTTCTTTTATATTTCGTGCTACATAGGACTCTAATTAAAAAGCCGAAAATGCAAAAAAATTTACTTATCTTAATACTTGTATGTGTCTTTATATAACATGCGAAAAATTATATATACATATATATATAGTTTTAACCGTGTTCTTTTGAATCGAAAAACATGGAATTTTAATCATTAATTAATTTTAATTTTTTTCACACACACGCATCATATAAAATACAAACACTAATATGCTCATGTTCTCGTATAGCGTATAGCAATCGTGAACGTCACAATGAGTGACATATAGATTTTACAAGCAGAGGGGTAATAATACATTTACTCCCTTGATACTAAATATAATAATATGATAGATATCCAATTGAAAAGCATGTTATTTGGCAAGTTTTTTCCGTGCAAGATATATCAATTAGAATATCCATGAAAACGTATCATCTGTTAAATGTACATTTATTTTTATTTTTCTAGGAACAAACAGTAAGAAAAAGTTTGTACTTTATTCTATATAAACTGCATATACAAATGCAATTTATAAAGTTTTTTTACTAAAACTTCTTTTCTCAAAAAAAATTTTGTGGTTTTTCTAATTATTTATTGAAGCTGGCTTGTCCATCTTTGATGACTTCAATAAATATAGCACAAATAGATATTGTTTTTTAGCACACACTATAGATGTATGGTCTCGAAGAAAAATAACATTAAATCGTATTTGCTTTGCGATAACTTGTATCTTGTATTGCGTTACATAAAACATTTTAGGATTATAAATATTCTCACACAATACAACTTTTGTTTGATTTCGAGAATTGATGTATATACACATGGAGATAAGCAAAGTTATGTAACTATAATCGTTATAACATTATATAAATGTTATTCACGCATAATAAACTTGTCTTATTGTCACAGAAGAATTAAATAATATCGTGATTGGATGCACAAGATTAATATACCGTATTGATAGTTTGTTCTTATATTTAAGATCGTCTTAAGATTCTAGTCATAAAATCATTATATAGCATTTTAAAATCGTAGTTAAGATGATTTTAAATATAAGAATAGACCACGAATACAAGTCATAGATACTGATCCTTGTTTAATCATTCCAAAGACGAGAGCACCGTGAAGTATGACATCGAAGTTTGCACGATCTTTAAAACAAGAACTCGTATTACTAAAGTTTTCTAAGATCGTTTCGTTATTTAATTTTGTAAAGTTTATTATAATCTTTACCGAGGTAAAGTTCTCCATCGAGAAAATGTAAATCTTGCCAGCACTCAAAAAAATCGGTTGGAGACTCTTCCGCATCACGAATAAAAGCATCTTTTGTGATTTCGTAGGTGCTTTATACCAAGGACTATTATAGCTGTAATATGTTTCGATGATATACTAAACTATAAATAACTGCGATATTATAATCATTATTATAGAAATCTTTTGTCTTCTTACATCGTGTCGCGCGTTTTAAGACTGTGATCTATCAGCTTCTGTCCCTCGAAACTGAGGCAGAATAAATGGATCAGCTGACCGACAACATATACTATGTACCTTAGAATTATCAGGATGTTGGCGTTCTCCTGCGTAACCTTTAGTCCCAAAAATACAATAAAGTTAATTCTTTGCACTTATAATTGTTTCTCACAATTCTAAGAAACATGCGACAAATTGACCCTAGATATATAAAAAATATAATATATCATGTATAGGTAAGATATTATTATTTCCTTATCAAAAAATAAACATTTTTTTTTTCTTTTGGTAACATTTATGAATGGTTTACGAAATATATTGTTTTCACAATATCTCATCTTATTATGCCCATATAGTGCATCTGTTGTTTCTCGATTCTTCGTGCAAATAATTCTTCGCGTAAAAGTTTCGGCAATTCTGTTATACTTAAACCTAAATAGACATTAACATTTATACTTTGTTTACATCAGAGCCGAGAAATACATTTTGCTGCTATAATGGAATTTGTTTTATGTCAATTCAAATAAAATGTCTTCAAGTGTTTTATTATAAAAATGTAAATATATTTAATTAAATATAATTATTATAAGAGAATTACCAAAATTTTTACACGAAGAGTCAAAAATTAGCAATGCATTGTATTGACATATTAAAAAATAAAATAGCTCGAAAATAATGCATTTTCAGAAACTTTACTAAAGAAGAAATGTTTTTTTGACAAGAAATACAGTAGTACCGGCCTGTATTTACTTATACGGAATATCCTGTATATATGTAAAATATAATCTTAGAACAATCACGTACTTGTAATAGAGTAATGCTAATCATTATTGTATTCAGCATTATTTGTATAGCCAGAGTCAACGAAAATATGTCTTCAATAAGCTGGGCAAATCTATAGCAAAAATATAATAATAAAAGTAAATTTTAAAAAAATCTCTTTCCATTACTTAAGAAATGCTTACTTTAAAGCCTTCCGATGCGTGTGCACCGAGAACTCAATTCGTTTGCGATAGTTGTCAGAATGTAAAATAGTCACGGAATTAGCGCGCTTATGCATTAATCGTTCGAATCGAAAACTGTAAATATCTACGCGTGACATCAAATAATACATAACAATACAATACACGCTGCATTCTTCTCACCCGCTTATGACAAAAATACTGCAGACGTGTTCGATGTAAGTTAGGAGTATGCAATCGTGGGCGACTATCCCGGTCATAGCGATCTCCCATGCCACAACAGCATGCGAGTAGATGTAGTAAAAATATTTTCTCTCGTCAACGAAGTAGTAGCCTGGATGAGCCGGCAATATAGGGCGGGATTCATTGAGTGGTAGTACGACATCTAATAATTGCGGTACGAGAGACACGGACATGAACAGATATACGGATATGAAGCAGTACACTGCAACAAATAAAGTTAAATTGTAATTTCATCGACAAAAAAAGCCAAGAGAATGGACATCACGCAATTCATTCTTATTACTCTTACACGAGTATCCCAAAGAATAACGTCTACCCTTCTCGGCATATTTTTTCATAATTTCGAACTCTTCTGGGGTTTGCAAATCATTCCATTCGACGTATAACTGATCGATCAGAATTTTCATCTAAAAGTACTATTAATTAATAATACATTTTTCTTTTCGTACAATCTAATGGACTACTGATTCAATTTAAAAATTGTAGACTTCAAAAGCTTACTTTGTGACATAATATGTACATACAAGAGTACTATAAAATGAATGACATACTTTACATCGATTAAAATAACACGTATACAGCTTCACCAATGTTACGATTGTCAATAGATACGCTGTCATAGTTTGAAAAATACATTGCAGGTCTCCGTCGCATTTAACAAATTTAGCTATCTGGCAATATTATTATGTCGGTGCGGATTAAAAGATCTCCACATTTCAATTTGATAAAGAGAATTATTGTAATTACCTGTGGAACGATCATGGAAAACGTGGTTAAAGTCACTAGGCTGATACAGAACAGTCTTGTTTTTGGTTTCTGATAAGGCCACTGACCGGCCAATGATGATACTTTTTTAACAACACTGTAATAATGACTCCAAGTAGAGTTCATAATTCACAGACAGCCCTTCGTTTTTCACTTTGCACGATCGACTAATTTCAAAATTTTGTTTCTTCCGAGTTTTGGCGAAATAACAGCCCTTGATACAAAGAATAATATCAAGTGCTTTAGATGTATCATACATAATAATATGCTTCAGCTGTTGCAACACGTCTCCGTGTAGCAATGAATGACACGTAGTACTTATGAATAAAAGCGGCTTATTTCTCCCTTGACAGTAAATATAAGGGGGTCGAAGCCCGATGCCCCGGGGTAACAAGCGTATCATTTTGCAAGTCCTCTTCAGATGAAACATATCGATCAGTAAAATGTTTTATTTTTAGAGACTTGGAAAATTTAATCCACATTTGGACAATCGAAGACTATCATAACCAGCATGATCAGCTTTGAGATTTATAATATCTTTTGATACGATGAACACATCGTATCAAAAGATATTATATTTCGCAATATTTAAAAAATGCGTCAAACACAGGAAATAAATAAGTGACGTAAATAATGTTTTTCTTAATGGGTAAATATTTTTACAAAAATATTTCTTTGAAATTTGCATTACAATTCATATTCTTATAAATTCTTTTTTATACTTAACGATGCACATCTGTCTTTTGCTAATTCAACGCGACAGTCTATTTTAGCACATGTTGCAGATGGTCATGGGATATAAGTAATTTTATCTTCTATTTTCTTTGTAATGAGTATCTTGTATTGTGTCGGCAAATTTATGTACTTTATTAAGTAAAAATTATGATTTTCAATTACATCTATGATTTTTCTTAAATTATGTTTTTTCTTTAAAATTGCACATAAAATATTTTAGAATTATAAACAATCTTTCAATTTTTTTTTTAATTTTTATTTTCATCGACAAAAAAAGCCAAGAGAATGGACATCACGCAATTCATTCTTATTACTCTTACACGAGTATCCCAAAGAATAACGTCTACCCTTCTCGGCATATTTTTTCATAATTTCGAACTCTTCTGGGGTTTGCAAATCATTCCATTCGACGTATAACTGATCGATCAGAATTTTCATCTAAAAGTACTATTAATTAATAATACATTTTTCTTTTCGTACAATCTAATGGACTACTGATTCAATTTAAAAATTGTAGACTTCAAAAGCTTACTTTGTGACATAATATGTACATACAAGAGTACTATAAAATGAATGACATACTTTACATCGATTAAAATAACACGTATACAGCTTCACCAATGTTACGATTGTCAATAGATACGCTGTCATAGTTTGAAAAATACATTGCAGGTCTCCGTCGCATTTAACAAATTTAGCTATCTGGCAATATTATTATGTCGGTGCGGATTAAAAGATCTCCACATTTCAATTTGATAAAGAGAATTATTGTAATTACCTGTGGAACGATCATGGAAAACGTGGTTAAAGTCACTAGGCTGATACAGAACAGTCTTGTTTTTGGTTTCTGATAAGGCCACTGACCGGCCAATGATGATACTTTTTTAACAACACTGTAATAATGACTCCAAGTAGAGTTCATAATTCACAGACAGCCCTTCGTTTTTCACTTTGCACGATCGACTAATTTCAAAATTTTGTTTCTTCCGAGTTTTGGCGAAATAACAGCCCTTGATACAAAGAATAATATCAAGTGCTTTAGATGTATCATACATAATAATATGCTTCAGCTGTTGCAACACGTCTCCGTGTAGCAATGAATGACACGTAGTACTTATGAATAAAAGCGGCTTATTTCTCCCTTGACAGTAAATATAAGGGGGTCGAAGCCCGATGCCCCGGGGTAACAAGCGTATCATTTTGCAAGTCCTCTTCAGATGAAACATATCGATCAGTAAAATGTTTTATTTTTAGAGACTTGGAAAATTTAATCCACATTTGGACAATCGAAGACTATCATAACCAGCATGATCAGCTTTGAGATTTATAATATCTTTTGATACGATGAACACATCGTATCAAAAGATATTATATTTCGCAATATTTAAAAAATGCGTCAAACACAGGAAATAAATAAGTGACGTAAATAATGTTTTTCTTAATGGGTAAATATTTTTACAAAAATATTTCTTTGAAATTTGCATTACAATTCATATTCTTATAAATTCTTTTTTATACTTAACGATGCACATCTGTCTTTTGCTAATTCAACGCGACAGTCTATTTTAGCACATGTTGCAGATGGTCATGGGATATAAGTAATTTTATCTTCTATTTTCTTTGTAATGAGTATCTTGTATTGTGTCGGCAAATTTATGTACTTTATTAAGTAAAAATTATGATTTTCAATTACATCTATGATTTTTCTTAAATTATGTTTTTTCTTTAAAATTGCACATAAAATATTTTAGAATTATAAACAATCTTTCAATTTTTTTTTTAATTTTTATTTGTCTCTAATAATTACCGTATGCTGGCAAATAAGCACAATTTATCGAACTACAGAACTACACTATGACATTAAAAGTTTACATCATATACGAGTAAAAAACTTGTCTTATTGTCACGTAAGAATTATGATATAATAATTAAATATAGGATTAATATCCGGATAGACTGGATTCCGGCTATTGTTTGATTATTCTAATGACGCGAGTATCGTAAAGTATGACATCGAAGTTTGCACGACCTTCAAAATAAGAACATGTATTATTAAAGAAACTGTTCTATTTCGAAAACACATTGCATATTTTTTCCTATAATCTTTACCGTGGTGAAGCTCTCCATTGAGAAAATATAAATCTTGCCGGCACTCAGGAAAATAGGTCGAAGGCTTTTTCGCATTACGAACAGAAGCATCTTTTGCGATTTCGTGGATGTTTCATACCAAAAACTATTATAGCTGCAACGATTCAATTAAGATCAATTAATAACTCCGATAAGATAATTATTACGAAAACTTCTCGCGTCTTACATCTTGTTACGCGTTTGAAGACTATGATCTATCAGCTTCTGTCCCTCGAAACTGAGGCAGAATAGATGAATCAGTTGAGCAACAATGTACAGTACGTATCTCATTGCTTCTATAATATCGCTATTTTGCTGCGTGATCTTCGGTCCGAAAAATATAATAATTTAATCTTATTGCTATTTTTTCGCATTTTTGATGGACAAATAATTTGACAGTAAATGTGTATATGTCGGATATAATTTTAGAAAATGTGTAAATATTATACATACTTGTAACAGAGTGATGCTGATCATTACCGTATTCAGCGCTAATTGTATAGCCAGCGTAAGTGAAAACGTATCTTCGATAAGCTCGGCGAATCTACAACAAATGAAAAATATGATAGTAACGATGAATTAAAGAATATTTTTTTTTGTGCTGACTAGATACTCACTTTAAAGCTTTTCGATGTTTGTACACCGAGAATGCGATTCGTCTGAAAATGTCGCTTGATTGAGAATGTAAAATTTTCACAGAGTCGGTGCGTTTACATGTTAATTGTTCAAAGCGAAATCTGCAAAAACATGTGTGAATATACATAACACATAATTGACATCAACCTTACCTCGTCACATATTGCTCTCTTACCCGACTATAGCGAAAATACTGCAGACGTGTTCGATGTAAGTCAGGAGCATGCAGTCGTGAGTGACTATTCCGGTCATAGCGATTTCCCAGGCCACGATAGCATGCGAGAAAATGTAGAAAAAGTATTTTTTCTCGTCGACGAAATAATATCCCGGATACGTTGGCAATATAGGACGAGATTCGTTGAGTGGTAATACAACATCCAATAATTGCGGTATGAGAGACACACACATAAACATACATACGGCTATAAAGCAATACACTGCAACAGATAATCGCGATTATTCGCGACAATAAATAATTGTTAAAGTATAATTTTATCAAAAAAATGAGCCGGGAAGATGTGTGTATGTGTATGTATGACGATGGAAATCGCATAGTTTAGTCTTACAGGAATATCCTAAGGAATATCGCCTGCCATTCTCGGCATATCTCTTCATAATTTCGTATTCTTCCGGTGTTTCCAGTTCCTCCCAATCGACAAATAATTGATCAATTAGCATTTTAATCTAGGATTAATAATAAACTTTTTTTATATTTGTTTTATTAGATAGAATATTAAAATTTGTGAGATACTGTAATCATAATACAAGTGTTACGAAAAATGAATAACGTACTTTATATCTGTTAAAGTAGCACGTATACAATTTTACCAATGTTACAGTCGTCAACATATACGATGTCATAGTTTCAAAAATACATCGCAGGTCTCCGTGGCATGTAGTAAATTTGGCAATCTGGAAGTTTAAGGCTTATAGATCTTACGTTGTTCAACAGAGTTTTATTAAGAATTTTCAATTACTTGTGGAATAATCATAGAAATCGTGCTCAGAGTTACCAAACACAAACAGAGCAGCCGCGTTTTTGATCTCTGATAAGGCCATTGGCCAGACAACGATGAAACTCTTTTAACAACATTGTAATAATGACCCCAAGTAGAGTTCATAATTCGTAGGTAGCCTCTCGTCTTTGACTTTGCACGGTCGACTAATTTCAAAATTTTATTTTACCCGGGTGGCCATCCCTCGGTACGAGAGATGATTCAAGGTACTCAGACATATCATATATAATTCAACACATAATGTTATATGTCTACAATGTCACCGCGTAAAAATTGCGGGGTGTCTTCGCGTAAAAATTACGATGTGTCTCCGCGTATACAATAGCATGACACATAGCTCTCGTACGAAAAATAGTATAGTATATTTACAAGAGAGTATTATTGATATATGTCCTCTTGACAAGAAATTTAACGTAGAGAAAGACAAAACCTTTAATAAGCGTGTTGCGTTGTACAAGTTTTCTTTAGATGCAACATATTGATCGTCGAAATGCTTCATCTCTTTATTCTTGAGCAACAGAAAACTGGGAGCAACGCTGCTTATTTAAATTATCAAAAAATTAGATCTATATTTGAGTAATCACGGTAGAACTTTATAAACCATAAATATATAAATTGTAATATTATTATGTATAATGATTAACAGCAGTACGTTATTGTAATTAAAATATTAAACACACGTGTTTTTTTTCGACGGGATATTAATGTCATCACATAATTACCAAATAATAACATTAACGTGAGTTGTTATATTATTAAACGGATCCGAGTACCGTAAGGTATGACACTGAAGTTTGTAGAACCTTAGAAACAAAAGCAACCATTATCAAATTAAAGCAGTGCCAAAATAATATTTACGATAAACCTCGTTTTACCGTGGTAAAGTTTTCCAAAGAGAAAATGTATATCTTGCCGGCGGTCAAAAAACACGGTTGAAGACTTTTCATCATTACTAATATGATTAGCTTTTGTAATTTTATAGATGTTTTGTACCAAGAGCTGTTATATCTGTTTTAGAAATGTAGAAAATAATATATATAAAATTCATATGTTTTTTAAGTAAATCAAAAGCGGTTACTTTTTACATTTTGTCGCGCATCTGAAGACTGTGATCTATCAGTTTTTGTCCCTCGAAGCTAAGACAGAATAAATGGATCAATTGACCAAAGACATAGAATATGTATCTTATTGCTTCTAAAATATCATCCTGTTGCGTAATCTGTAAAAACATTATAAATATTATTATACGAGTAGTATTAGGTACGTTTAAATGAAATATAGACTAAGGCTTTTATGGAACAACGGCTTTAGTCCATGTTTCAGTTAAAGATGCCTAATATTTTAATACTTTGCAGTTTGAGTATCATTTTATAATAAAAAAAGATATACTTGTAGCAAGCTAACGCTCATTCCTATTGTTACTATCAACATTTGTATAGCGAAAGGCTTGGTAAATGTATCTTCAATAAGTTGCGCGTACCTGTACGATAAAAAAACATTAGATAATAATCGCGGGAATTTGTGATTTTTACCATTTTCAGTTGTTATTTCTCTATCATTAAATAAACGTTACATTTCGTTTTATTGTTCGATGATGTTATGCACTTACTCTAGAGCTTCTCGGTGTGTATACACAAGAAACGCAACTCTTTTGTCATACTTTTCGTCGATGTCTGATTCGTCAGCGTTTAAAGCAGTTTCTGTCTTTCCTTTATGATTATAAAATAAATGTTCGTAACGAAATCTGTAAACAGATTATATATGATATTGTTAGATTTTAAAAATAAATTATAAAGATATTTTTGCACGTAACTTTTTTAATTATATTGTAAATATATTATTTTCTTTCTCTAACCCGGCTATAGCGAACATGCTGCAAACATGCTCAACATAAGTCACAAACATGCAGTCATGGGCGATTACACCGGTCACGACTATTTCCCAGGCTATGATGGAGTGCCAGTAAATTTGAAAGAAATGTTCTCTAATGTCCACAAAGTAGTATCCTTTATACGGCGGTAGTACGGGACGGGATTCATTCAGAGGCAATATAATATCAAGTATATACGGTACAAGAGACATTGACATAAACACAAATACTGCTATAAAAACATATACTGCAATGTACGATGTATGATTTTAAAAAAGAGATATCGTGGAGCATAAATCTCTGATTCAAATATATAATACAACAGATTAAATATTTTATTAAAATCCTCACCTGTATATACCAAAGAAAATCGTCTACTATTTTCGGCATACGATTTCATAATTTCATATTCTTCAGCAGTTTCTAATGTCTTCCAGTCACAAAACAAGTGTTGGGTGAGGTCTTTAATCTATATAGTAAGGGATAAATAATAAATATTTAGAATAAAGGATTAATAATACATTTTTTCTCGTGATTTGATCAAAATGCTCAAAAAATAAGAGAAAAATATGTTTACAAAATATCTTTTATATAAATTTTTTTTCTGTCCAACTCTCTCTGCAACTTCTAAGGTTGAGCAGATTGGGATACATAATCGCACAACATATAAATATATGATAAAACGTACTGTACGATTGTTTAATTGGAATGTATATATTTTTAGCATAACTACAATTGATAATAAATACGCTGTCATTGCCTCATAAGTGCATTGCACTTTCTTACATGTAAATTGGTACGCTATCTGAAAATATTTTCGCTTATAAGATTTTTGTAATAATTCTTTTTTGTCGGTGATCACATTACATTAATTTACCTGCGGGACAAATATAGTTAATAATATCATAGTTAGTAATGTAACACGAAATATTCTTGTTTTTGGTTTCAGATACGGCCATATACCGGTGAGTGACGCTATTTTATATACAATGTTGTAATGACTACAAATGATCTCCATAATACAATCAAAGAAACACAATGCCTTTGATAGCGCTATTCCGACTAACTTCAACCTTTCATACAGTTTGGTTCTTTATCTTCTGATGGCAGGAACGAATTAAAACTATCGCACACATTGTCGTTCATAGTAAAACTGCTATTAAAAAACTGCTACTAAATAATAGCTTTATACACCAATTTCTTGAAAAACAATTTCGTGCGTGTATTACATTATTGAAGAATTGTCATGTGGTTCTTACGATTGGAAATAGCACTTATTCCTTTGACACATTAAGTACTATATAGAGACCAGTCAAGTTCTACTGTCGAGCAGATCGTGTTCCCTCCGGAAAAAATATACTGATCAGAAAAAAATGATATGATAAAATTACTATTTCCTATATTGGCAATGCATAGCAGATCATTATTTGATGCGTGAGCTATACTTTTGACGAAATCGTTTTCAAGTAAAAGGATCTAGAAGTTTCTTGGCTAGATAATAATTTTGGCTTTTTTTTACTCTGTATAAAGATGGAACTGGTGCTAGAATAATAATTGTCATCCAACAAATGTAATCGTGTATTCGCGCGATCTTGAACATTTGTAGAATATTCCAAATTAGATTCCTTATCGCAAATCCTCGCATTGTTACTATAATATTCGTCAGATGCTAAATAATTGCATTTCTATATGTTTTCTCTCTAAATATACATCTAATCCGCGAAAATTGTCTCTTTTGTACGGTGTTTCGCACTTACAACTGCAGAACAATGTTCTTGTTTTTTTAACTTCTCCGTTTTTTTATGTATTTGGCAGTGATTTGTTCGCAAACGTCTGTAATTTAATATTATTGCCGATATCGTAAAGATCACTTAGGCATGCGACGGGTTGTGTATTTCTATAAATATTAAAACAAAGTATTAAAAGTAGGTATACATATGTATCATTATATAATTTTATATGAATATTTTAATTATTAAAATATATATAACTAATATTTCAGGAAAAATATCAGAACTTTTTTATTGTCTGGTGCGGGAGGGGAAAATGCCTACGCATAACCCGCGGTCAGTCCAGGGGTTATATGGGGTTTGAATCTTGAACCCACTAAAAATCCCCCCCCCCCCCCCCGCTG